ATTTCCTGATGTTACAAGCGGATAAAGGTACTCCCCCTGTGTAACTTCGATGTCAGCCATTGGCAGCTCATGCGTGACACCTGCCGCTTGCTCAGGCCCTTTGAGGAGGCCACGCTATTCGTGAGTCGGCAGGACTATGGGATGAACGACGTCATTCCTCTGTTGCACGTCCTGGAACAAATGCTGTTAACAATGGCTGGTCAGGGTGCGGTAGACGTGGCGCACAGATCTCAACGCCACATGACCCCTGTGGGGGCAGGACAGGAAGAAGAGGAGGAGGTAGAGGAGGACATTGGTGCTCAGGAATTATTGAGTGAAATGGGTGGTTTTTCCACTCAGCGGACAGGAGTGGAGGAGCAGGAGCATCTGGTAGAGGAGGAGGAGGAGGAGACAGAGGACCCAGACGCACCGTGGCAGTATGCTGTGGAGATGGAGGCAGGGAGTCCCTCGCATTCCTTGGCACAAATGGCCCATAGCATGCTCGCTTGCTTGCGTAGCGACAGCCGAATAATAACCATCAGACAGAGGGATGACTTTTGGCTGTCCACCTTGTTGGACCCTCGCTACCGTTCAAAAATGGTGGCCTTTTTCACACCTGCTGAGAGGGAGGCCAAAATAACGTACTATAAAAACCACCTATGTAGTCAGTTGGTCTCTGCCTTTCTGCGCCAACGTCCATCCTCAGACACTGTGGGCCCTGTGCGCTCGCGTTCCGCTGCCATGGCAGCAGGGGAGGGGTGGGGTGGTAGGAGCAGTGGCAGCTCCACCAGCAGCGGCTGCCTCAGTCTGCAGTCGATGATGAGTAGCTTTCTTCACCAGCGCAGTGAGGAAACTACTAACCAGCCAGCAGCAGCAGCAGCAGCATCAGGTGGACCTGGAGCAGGACCTCAAACAACAGGCTTGGGCCTACTTGGACAGCACCCTGCCAACCGAGGTAGACAATCCCCTTGACTACTGGGCAACGAAACTTGACCTTTGGCCCCAACTAGCTGAATTTGCCCTTGAAAGGCTGTCATGCCCGGCCAGTAGCGTGGCATCGGAGCGCGTGTTTAGTGCGGCAGGAGGTATTGTAACTCCGCGGAGGACACGACTGTCCACCCAAAGTGTGGAGAGACTCACGTTTGTGAAAATGAATCAGGCGTGGATTAGTCTGGATTTCAAACCACCAGTTCCTGACACAACTGACTAAATCCGCCATGAATCATGCCCCAAACATGTGCCACTTTCAGGTCTCCTCACACACTGCTGGTGTGTTCCATTTTTTGTCATAGGGTGCTGGCAGATTACGGGCCTCCCATAGCTGCTGCCAGGCCCCTAATCTGCCATGGGCCCCTGTACCCCCCGCCTCCTCATGCTGCTGCCAGGTCCACAGTCTCTCATGGGTCCCTGTACGGCCTCCCATTGCTGCTGTCTCCATCGCCACACTCTGCCATGTGCCACTTTCAGGTCTCCTCACACACTGCTGGTGTGTTCCATTTTGTCATAGGGTGCTGGCAGATTACGGGCCTCCCATAGCTGCTGCCAGGCCCCTAATCTGCCATGGGCCCCTGTATACCGCCTCCTCATGCTGCTGCCAGGTCCAGAGTCTCTCATGGGTCCCTGTACGGCCTCCCATTGCTGCTGTCTCCATCGCCACACTCTGCCATGTGCCACTTTCAGGTCTCCTCACACACTGCTGGTGTGTTCCATTTTTTGTCATAGGGTGCTGGCAGATTACGGGCCTCCCATAGCTGCTGCCAGGCCCCTAATCTGCCATGGGCCCCTATAGTACCGCCCTCCTCATGCTGCTGCCAGGTCCAGAGTCTCTCATGGGTCCCTGTACGGCCTCCCATTGCTGCTGTCTCCATCGCCACACTCTGCCATGTGCCACTTTCAGGTCTCCTCACACACTGCTGGTGTGTTCCATTTTTTGTCATAGGGTGCTGGCAGATTACGGGCCTCCCATAGCTGCTGCCAGGCCCCTAATCTGCCATGGGCCCCTGTACCGCCTCCTCATGCTGCTGCCAGGTCCAGAGTCTCTCATGGGTCCCTGTACGGCCTCCCATTGCTGCTGTCTCCATCGCCACACTCTGCCATGTGCCACTTTCAGGTCTCCTCACACTGCTGGTGTGTTCCATTTTTTGTCATAGGGTGCTGGCAGATTACGGGCCTCCCATAGCTGCTGCCAGGCCCCTAATCTGCCATGGCCCCCTGTACCGCGCCTCCTCCATGGGTCCCTGTACCGCCATGCTGCATGGGTCCCACGGTCCCACTGCTGTCTCCATCACTCTGCCATGTGCCACTTTCAGGTCTCCTCACACTGCTGGTGTGTTCCATTTTTTGTCATAGGGTGCTGGCAGATTACGGGCCTCCCATTGCTGCTGCCAGGCCCCTAATCTGCCATGGGCCCCTGTACCGCCTCCTCATGCTGCTGCCAGGTCCAGAGTCTCTCATGGGTCCCTGTACGGCCTCCCATTGCTGCTGTCTCCATCGCCACACTCTGCCATGTGCCACTTTCAGGTCTCCTCACACTGCTGGTGTGTTCCATTTTTTGTCATAGGGTGCTGGCAGATTACGGGCCTCCCATTGCTGCTGCCAGGCCCCTAATCTGCCATGGGCCCCTAGTACCGCCTCCTCATGCTGCTGCCAGGTCCACAGTCTCTCATGGGTCCCCTGTACGGCCTCCCATTGCTGCTGTCTCCATCGCCACACTCTGCCATGTGCCACTTTCAGGTCTCCTCACACTGGGTGTGTTCCATTTTTTGTCATAGGGTGCTGGCAGATTACGGGCCTCCCATAGCTGCTGCCAGGCCCCTAATCTGCCATGGGCCCCTGTACCGCCTCCCATGCTGCTGTCTGTCCAGGTCCACAGTGTGTCTGCCATGTGCCACTTTCAGGTCTCCTCACACTGCTGGTGTGTTCCATTTTTTGACATAGGGTGCTGGCAGATTACGGGCCTCCCATTGCTGCTGCCAGGCCCCTAATCTGCCATGGGCCCCAGTACCGCCTCCTCATGCTGCTGCCAGGTCCACAGTCTCTCATGGGTCCCTGTACGGCCCTCCCATTGCTGCTGTCTCCATCGCCACACTCTGCCATGTGCCACTTTCAGGTCTCCTCACACTGCTGGTGTGTGTTACATTTTTTGTCATAGGGTGCTGGCAGATTACGGGCCTCCCATAGCTGCTGCCAGGCCCGTAATCTGCCATGGGCCCCCGTACCGACTCCTCATGCTGTGACGTTGCAACAAGGTGGAATTCAACCCTACATATGTTAGACCGCCTTTACGAACAGCGAAAGGCCATCACCGATTTCCTGATGTTACAAGCGGATAAAGGTACTCCCCTGTGTAACTTCGATGTCAGCCATTGGCAGCTCATGCGTGACACCTGCCGCTTGCTCAGGCCCTTTGAGGAGGCCACGCTATTCGTGAGTCGGCAGGACTATGGGATGAACGACGTCATTCCTCTGTTGCACGTCCTGGAACAAATGCTGCTGTTAACAATGGCTGGTCAGGGTGCGTAGACGTGGCGCACAGATCTCAACGCCACATGACCCCTGTGGGGGCAGGACAGGAAGAAGAGGAGGAGGTAGAGGAGGACATTGGTGCTCAGGAAATTATTGAGTGAAATGGGTGGTTTTTCCACTCAGCGGACAGGAGTGGAGGAGAGCAGGAGCATCTGGTAGAGGAGGAGGAGGAGGAGACAGAGGACCCAGACGCACCGTGGCAGTATGCTGTGGAGAGATGGAGGCAGGAGTCCCTCGCATTCCTTGGCACAAATGGCCCATATAGCATGCTCTCTTGCTTGCGTAGCGACAGCCGAATAATAACCATCAGACAGAGGGATGACTTTTGGCTGTCCACCTTGTTGGCCCCTCGCTACCGTTCAAAAATGGTGGCCTTTTTCACACCTGCTGAGAGGGAGGCCAAAATAACGTACTATAAAAACCACCTATGTAGTCAGTTGGTCTCTGCCTGTCTGCGCCAACGTCATCCTCAGACACTGTGGGCCCTGTGCGCTCGCGTTCCGCTGCCATGGCAGCAGGGGAGGGGGGGGGGGTGGTAGGAGCAGTGGCAGCTCCACCAGCAGCAGCTGCCTCAGTCTGCAGTCGATGATGAGTAGCTTTCTTCACCAGCGCAGTGAGGAAACTACTAACCAGCCGCAGCAGCAGCAGCGTCAGGTGGACCTGGAGCAGGACCTCAAACAACAGGCTTGGGCCTACTTGGACAGCACCCTGCCAACCGAGGTAGACAATCCCCTTGACTACTGGGCAACGAAATTTGACCTTTGGCCCCAACTAGCTGAATTTGCCCTTGAAAGGCTGTCATGCCCGGCCAGTAGCGTGGCATCGGAGCACGTTTTTTAGTGCGGCAGGAGGTATTGTAACTCCGCGGAGGACATGACTGTCCACCCAAAGTGTGGAGAGACTCACGTTTGTGAAAATGAATCAGGCGTGGATTAGTCTGGATTTCAAACCACCAGTTCCTGACACAACTGACTAAATCCGCCATGAATCATGCCCCAAACATGTGCCACTTTCAGGTCTCCTCACACTGCTGGTGTTTTACATTTTTTTGTCATGGGGTGCTGGCAGATTACGGGCCTCCCATAGCTGCTGCCAGGCCCCTAATCTGCCATGGGCCCCTGTACCGCCTCCCATCATGCTGCTGCCAGGTCCAGAGTCTCTCATGGGTCCCTGTACGGCCTCCCATGCTGCTGTCTCCATCGCCACACTCTGCCATGTGCCACTTTCAGGTCTCCTCACACTGCTGGTGTGTTCCATTTTTTGTCATAGGGTGCTGGCAGATTACGGGCCTCCCATTGCTGCTGCCAGGCCCCTAATCTGCCATGGCCCCTGTACCGCCTCCTCGTGCTGCTGCTAGCCAGGTCCACAGTGTCTCATGGGTCCCTGTACGGCCTCCCATTGCTAGCTGTCTCCATCGCCACACTCTGCCATGTGCCACTTTCAGGTCTCCTCACACACTGCTGGTGTGTTCCATTTTTTGTCATAGGGTGCTGGCAGATTACGGGCCTCCCATAGCTGCTGCCAGGCCCCTAATCTGCCATGGGCCCCCTGTACCGCCTCCTCATGCTGCTGCCAGGTCCAGAGTCTCTCATGGGTCCCTGTACGGCCCCCATTGCTGCTGTCTCCATCGCCACACTCTGCCATGTGCCACTTTCAGGTCTCCTCACACACTGCTGGTGTGTTCCATTTTTTGTCATAGGGTGCTGGCAGATTACGGGCCTCCCATAGCTGCTGCCAGGCCCCTAATCTGCCATGGGCCCCTGTACCGCCTCCTCATGCTGCTGCCAGGTCCAGAGTCTCTCATGGTTCCCTGTATGGCCTCCCATGCTGCTGTCTCCATCGCCACACTCTGCCATGTGCCACTTTCAGGTCTCCTCACACTGCTGGTGTGTTACATTTTTTGTCATAGGGTGCTGGCAGATTACGGGCCTCCCATAGCTGCTGCTGCCAGGACCCCTAATCTGCCATGGGCCCCTATATACCGCCTCCTCATGCTGCTGCCAGGTCCACAGTGTGTCATGCCATGTGCCACTTTCAGGTTCTCCTCACACTGCTGGTGTGTTCCATTTTTTGTCATAGGGTGCTGGCAGATTACGGGCCTCCCATAGCTGCTGCCAGGCCCCTAATCTGCTATGGGCCCCTGTACCGCCTCCTCATGCCATTTTTTGTCATAGGGTGCTGGCAATTACGGGGGCCCCCCCCTTGCTGCTGCCAGGCCCGAAAACTGCCATGGGCCCCAGTACCCCCCCCCC